TATAAAAGGTTTTGATTAATTAGATACTTTCAAAACACTACGTTGCAAAAGAAAATGTATTGATATCATAGAGATCAAAGTGTCCCTGGCCCCCAATGATTAGTCAAACTGTAGTGAGCAAAGGCCACTGTTCCCATAAAGATTTCCTGAAAGTTTTACTGACATGAAGATTATTGGGACAAACCAAAAACTTACACATGGACGTCTTCAAAATGAACTCTCCAAGATGTAGGGAAAATTGTTCCTTTTTAAGTTTCAAGCGTGGACAGCCATGTCGAAATATGACTGGACAGAAAGGGTGTGAGCTAATCCTAACAGGCTGAGTGGGGAACCCAGCAAGGCCTTGGGTCTGGATTGTGTTTGGCCTCTTCTTTTTTTTTTTTTTTGAGACAGAGTTTCGCATTTGTTGCCCAGGCATAGAGTGAAGTGCCGTGGCGTCAGCCTACTCAAGAAACCTCAAAAACTCCAGGGCTCGAGCGATCCTTCTGCCTCAGCCTCCCAAGAGCTGGGACTTACAGACATGTGCCACCCATGCCCGGCTAATTTTTTATATATATAATATATCAGTTGGCCAATTAATTTCTTTGTAGTTTATGTAGAGACGGGGTCTCACCTCTTGCTCAGGTCTGGTTTTGAACTCCTGACCTTGAAGCAATCCGCCCGCCCTCAGCTCCCAAGAGCTAGATTAGAGGCGTGAGCCACGCGCCCGGCTTGGTTTGTGCCTCTTCTGACTGTTCCTTCCTTCCTTCCTGGGTGTAGGGCAGGGCCCTTCCCTGGAATGGGGTTTTATAGTTTAAAAAAGTAGGTCCAGATAAGTTACTAGGCCAGTTTTATTCTGAAATATATTTTTTAGGTTTTATGGCAGCTATCAATGGAAAAGGGTGTCTTGGTCTTTTATGACCTGCCTTGGGAAATAGGGTTTATTTCTAGGGGTAGCGTACAGGGGAAGAATTGGAGAGAGAGGAGGGCAGCAGACGAATGTGCATAGGTTTGAGGGGAGAATTGGGTTTTGCTTGTGGGTGTTTTCCGTCTATGTTGTTATGAAGTAGGGTTTTCGAGAGCCCGTACGAGGCAGAGTGCATATGGGACGTTGAACTATTTTTAGAGTGTATGAAAGGAAATAAAATAACAAACTTCAGCATTAAGCTTTTACCTGGACCGCATAGATTTCACAGAATAGTTTGAGACTTTTTGTTGTTTTTTTTATGAGGATCAAGATTAAGCTCTTAAAAACCAATCTTAATAGTCCCAAAAGATTTTTCGGAACATGTTTGGGTTTTTGGGGTTGTTGTGTGTTTTTTTTTTGTTTGTTTAGTTTTTTTGTTGTTTTTTGGGTGTGTTTTTTTGTTTTTGTTTTTTGTTTGTGTGTTGAGTGTTGTTTGGGTGGGTTGTGGTGGTGGTTTTTTGTTTTTTTTTTTTTTTGTGTTTTTTTTTTTTTTTGTTTGTTGGTGTTGTTGTGTTTGTTTCGGGGTTGTTTTATTTTTTGGTTGGTTGGGTTGTTTTGATTGTTTTTTTTTTGTGTGGTTATTTTTTTTGGGTGGGTGGTTTTGTTTTGTTTGTGGTTTTGGGTTTTGGGGGGTGTTGGTTTTTGTGTTGGGTTTGTGGGTGGGTTGGTGGGTGTTTTTTTGTTTGTTTTTTTTGTGGTGTTGTGTGTGGGTTTTGTTTTGGTTGGTTGTTTTTTTATGTTGGGGTGGGTGGGGGATTGGGTGTTTTGTTTGTTTTTGTTTTTTTTGTTTTTTGGTTTTTTTTGGGTTGTTTTTTTGTTTTTTTTGGTTTTGTGTTTTGTTAGGTTGGTGGTTTTTTTTGTGTGTGTTTGTTTTTTTTGGGTGGTTTTTTTTTTTTTGTGGTTGTTTTTGTTGGTGTTTTTGGGTTGTTGTTGGGGTATGGTGTGTTGTTTTTTTGGGTATAAACTTGAGTACATGTAGTAGTTCTAAAAGAAAGCCTGTTTTGAGATTCTCTTTTGGATTTAGCAATCATTCACTTTTTTCCCTTAAATAAATTACCTACAAAAAATTAACAATTTACAATTTTTTTCTACGCAAACAACTTTGTTACAGCAAATACGGTACACGTAACCGGCTAGCTTTGTAAAGAGTAAGAAAATGAGACAAGATCAAGGGAACACTAACTCAATGTAAGGTCTTCTAACTGCAACTTCTAGGACAACTTGAATCCCTAACAGTACTGTTAATATCACATGACAGTGAGTTAGAAACATGATTTATGTATCTTTCTACAGATATTGTCCCAGGGAAAGAAATTGTATCTGCAGTTAGGATTTAAAAGACCAAACCCAAAATATTTTCATAAACCTTTGACCGTACATAAGTTTGGTTTCTGTGCTCTGTCTACTTGGTGTTTTATTTATCCTAATTTGCTGACACTTAGGCACAGACCCATTTTTAAAGTTAATCACATAGGTATTTTTGTGGTAACTCAGATTTAGTGGTTATGATGAGACCAATGTTAAATTTACCTTACATATCAAGAATCATACAACACAGATCATTTTGTCTTTGGCTGAGTTTAGTTTTATAACTTTATTGTCAATGTTGACATCTCAAGACGTAAAAAATGTCCAGTAATATCCAGGCAAAACAAATGTATGCTGGACAATTTGAACCTCTTTACTGTTACTTTACTAATACTTTTTTATTTTTTATTAATAGTCCAGCTTATTTTGCAAAGATGGCTAATTCATGAGAACATTGGGTTTGTTTTAATTCATTTATGAGTGCTCCCTTATTTTTAAGCCAGTCTGGAACCATGTAACCACGAACATGTAAATACACAAACATACCTAAACATAACACTCTCACACACATGCACACAAAGTTCTAATAGATTTCCACCCTAGACTCTAGCCATGAGATGGTAACACAGCTCACCAGTCTGTAAAGACAGCCGGATCCAAATTTCTCTGACGAAACCGAACTTGTTGACTTGGCAGACTTTAGTTGCCCTGTTAGTAACCTGATTCGGGCTGGGCATCAGAGTTTTGGGTAAGCACATCAAGAGCAGTTTGATTTTTAAAAAACTCTTTACCGTTTTTTCTTCAGGTCAAAATGGAGTTTTCAGTGCTTGCATTTTAGCTACAACTGGCAGCAGGATCTCCAGGTAGACTTCTGTTGTAAATACCATAAAGAAAAGTTATCTAATGTGATGGAAAAATGTAGCAGGTTTTAGAGTACTCAGAAACAAAGAGAAATAGCATAAGAGACATTTGATTTCATAATGGGAGGTCTACCATTTGAGCTCTGAATTTTCCTTGATGTAATTACCTTCTGTAAAACTTGTGCATAAGAATTAGGAAAACCAGCTGCAGACCTAAAAAGCCTGGCATGCCTTTGAAATTTTTCATCTACAAAAATATTTACAAGTAGAGGAGCCACAAACCAACTGGGGTGCCTAAAGGGTGTCATTCTCCATGTTTTTCCTCATTTTTCCATTTTTCTCTAAAGGAAGCAATGAAACCATACTCTAGGGTTAGGTGTCATGGATCAGAGTGTGCTGATTGTGGTTGGGGCTAATCAATGTGTCCACACTGACTTGTCCCACCTCTTACCTTGTCTCTAGTTTTTCTCTTTGGGAGTCTAGTACTAAGAGAGGGCTCAAATTGTGGAATGATCAGCTCTTATATGTGTTTCCTGGATGAGCCTTCTTTTAATTAATTTTTTGGGTTCCTGGTAAGCCACTGACACCTCAGGGAATCACCCAGGCGACTCTACCAGGACCCTGATCACCCAGGCTGCCTTTCGGCTGGGAGGGGTAAAATGTCTTCTGAGGTGAGAAATTCAGTCTCTTCTTTATCTACGCCCAAGACAGTTCACTCTCCTCTTTCACAAATGCACAGAAAGTCAATGAGATGAATTTTAGGAGAAAAGACAATCGAGAAGACCCTTTAGAATGCACCTCCAAATCTTAAATTGGGATCCCAAATAACAATTCCTAGGAAAAGAACCAATTCAGAGTAAACCAAGACCATCACTAAAAACAAGAGGTCTGGAGCTCAGGAGGACTTACCAGTTCCACCAAAGAAGAAGCTCAGAGCTGCAGGGCCCAGGAGGGCCATGCCAGTACCTGGCGCTGAGTTTGGGCTACTCCTTTGGCTGTGTTGAATCTTCTCTGAGCCCCACGTCTCGGCACCAATCTTGTCAAAGGAAAATAATCCAAACTCTGTAAAATAATTTTAAAGATTTATGCTGAGTCAGATTTTAGGACCATGACCTGGAGCCACACCCAAGAGGCCTTGAGCAAGTGGACTCACTGTGCTTGGGTTACAGTTTGGTTTTACACAGTTCACGGAGACTAGGGTCACAGGTATATTCATAAATCAATACGTGGGAGACATAGATCGGTTTGGCCTGAAAAGGTTGGCCATCTCAAGTAGTGGTGGTGTTTATAGAGTATAGGTGGGTTGAAAGATTTTTTGACTTGTAATTGGTTAAAGACATGTAGCTTTGTCTAAAGGCTTGGAATGTTTTAAGATAAGGAAGTCTTGTTAACCAGAGAAAAGCCACTGGACATGTATTTTTGGTATAAACTGAGGACACACAGGTGTGTTTTTGCCTGCCGTTAGGCCTGTTAATTGGTTACAATGGATGTCTCCAGGAAGAAAGAGAGGCATGATGAGGCATGTCTGACCTCCCTCTCCTGACAGGCAATTTAGTTTTAGGGCAAACCTTTGCCCAACAGGGGTTCCATTCAGTCAGCCAGTGGGGGGAGCCTTAAGATTTTATTTTAGTTCACAGCAGTTTTGCACAAATCACTGAATTTTTGGCCTCAAAAGATTCAGGATCTGTGTGCCTGTGGGACCAATGTACTTCCCTGGATGCAACTGTCTCCAATGTCGGTACGTAGAGAGTGATTACTAAGGGAATCAAGAAAACTGCAAATTGAACCCTTGTCTCCTAACAAAGCCAATGTGAGAAAGAAAACAGAAGCCACCTAGAAAATGAGATGTGTCCAAAACAAAGCCATGGGGGTGGGGGTGGGGAGAAAGAAAACACTATAAAGTTGTCTTATAGATATTTCATCTGAATTTTATGAACGTCTGTAATCAATTTCCAAGGCTTCATTGTACCCTTCAACTTTAGTTACTCAACCTATTAAGAAAGTCATCTCATTGTAGGCTGACTTGAAGGAACAGTGGGGACTCTTCTAATGTGGATAAGAAAAAGAAAAAGGAGCCACCTCAGGACAGGAAAGTGTTCTGAGTAAACAGCTGGAGCCTAATGGTAAGAAGTGGTGATACTTTGTCACTTGCCTTAACCCTTTCAAAGATTCATCAAACCAGAAGATATAAATTCATGTAATTAATGAATACAACTTTTCTCATTAAAAAACCAGAAAGTTGTTTTTACAAAAAAAGAACAAAAATCAATATCTTATTAATCACCCATTTAGGTCTGCCTCTTGGCCATTGTTCTCCAGTGGCGTCTGCTTTCTGCAACATGAAAAAGGAAGTCGTGATAGTTTCCTACCTGACAGTATTTGTAAGTCCTGCACGACAGCACACGTTTCACTTAAGAATGTTCTGGATTGCAGATGAGGTATCTAGATTATTTTAACAACCTCTATCTCCTCTAAGGCTCATCTCCTTCTGCATTTTTGGGTAGATTTGTCTTCCTATTTTTTTTCACTGATGATGTAAAGGGCTGTCTATACAACCCCTGGTCCTAAAAGACTCCCATGGAGTTATCTCATCTGAAATGCATGAAATGCTTTATAAAAGCTATTTTCCTTTCATTTCTGTCCATAGTAAAAAAAAGTGTGACCACATGCCATTATTATGTAAATTAGTATTTTAGGAAACTAATGTTTTTCAAATGATCAAGATTTTCTTCCCATTTCGCAACTCAAGGTCCAAAAATTAAAGTTGACATATCGCTTTTCACTTTACAAAGCACTTGTAACTTATATTGGCAGCCAAAAGCAAGTCTAGAGGTAAAAAGGAATACATAAGCATTCTATTAATAATTTAAAATACAAAAAATTTGCAGACTTTCACTGCATCAATTTCCTGTCTCTTGCCAGAAACAATCACCTGTCAATCAGTTCATCTAAAGCAGAAGAACAAAAAGGTGGCAGAAATAAATCATCAGTGCTTCTTCAAGAGTTGGAAACTGTGAGTATCTAAAAATACTTTAATTACTTAAAATATACATTATTGGCTATAATTCCACATTCAACACAGACCTGCCATGAATATACTCCCAATTATCATGAGAATTTGTTTCATTGCTTTACTTCAGAAATTTTTCTGGTAGCACAGTGGTTTTTCCATTTTGAATCAAAGTTTAACATTATTTATCAAGTATTAATAATTAGCTTTCCCCTTTTTTCACCCCTACTCCAATCCCTCAACACAACAAAAACACTCGTGAACACCCCTCCATATATACCCTCTACGTGAACATGTGTTTATACTTTTCAGGATAAAGAAAACTTAGTCCATATTGTTCTGTGTATGAGAATCTTCCCAAACCTAGAGCAACACAAAGTAACTTGAACCAGGATAACTTGCTTTGCCTTTTACTTTTGTTATCTGGGTTAGCAGCCAGTGGGTACTTGGTACAGGGACACTACAGTGACATGTTTTAAGTGTCTACATGCCAAATGAAACTTTCCTCTTTCTCTCTTCCATCTGCTTAGTAAAAAATAGATGGATATCGATGATAGTTGATAGACAGGTAGATAATAGGTACAATAAGCCACAAGATTTCTCACCAAATAACATCTTCCTAACTTGGCATTACTATGTAACAGTTGTCATGAATTAACCCAAAGTCTATAAGGTTGTAATGCTGGCTCACATTTTGTGAGCATTAAAATAGCCCAGGGGGATGGGCTAAGTCAGTCATGTGTTATTTTAATCCTCACAGCGGCCTTATAAAGTGGGTATAACCATTTCTCTTGTTTTGTAGGTGAACAACTAAGTTTTACGTAGGTTACATATGTAATTCACTCAAGTCACACACCAGAATGAAGACCACAATGTCTATGTCAGAGGATTAAAGGAGCTAATATATACATGTCAATTGGCTGACAAATCTATGGCATTTGGTGGGTAGTCCAAAGTAATGTCTTCTCTCTCCACTTATTTTAAAATGCTACGCTGAGAAAGAATACCTACCACTTCTGCAAGTTTCCCCAGTCACTTTCCAAACATTATCTTACTTAGGGAGGGCAGCTAGTACTTCCCCTGTTTCACAAACGGGACATGAAGCAACCTTCTCCCATTCGTAGTTAGTACAACTGAGATCCAATCTGATTTCAAGGCAATAAAGGGTCTGTTCTTCAGGGAGCTATTCCCATACAGAATAAAATTGCCATGGGAAAATTTAAAATGCAAAAGATAACCTCTTATGGTGAAGATCAAGTTAGTTAGAAGTAAAATATTGCTAATTTTCCTATAAACACATGGATAAGAGCAGAGGTTGGGAACCAGGAAAATATTTCACTTCTGACTTCAGGGGCAGATGTAGATGCCTACTGAGTTTTTGCTATTATAACTGTTCTCAGTATATTGGATACACACTGTGATGGATACAGCCAGACTCTCCTACTCCAAGTCAATCATGCAGCTGTGGAAAAATGAGCCAGAAAGATATTTGGATGTCATGGTTCCTGGTTTATTTTAATGTTTTTAAAGACTTATCCTGCTGAACCTAAGAATCTATAGAGCACAATATCCAAGTCTAGAAAGTCACATTTTATTGGTTTTAGTTGCTCTTTTAAAAATTATAAACAGCATAAATCAGTGTGCACTGACATCAAAATCAACTGGCTTAATCAATCAGACTAAGTCTTGAGGAAATTCTCATTTTGCCTTTTTGATAATCCCATTCTGTAGGTTTCTTAATTTTATATACAACACTTTTAGTCTTGAAAATGTTATAATACCCTATTACCATAAATTATTCAATAAGAAATATAAGTAAATCCCATCATCCACTGTGGTTATTTTTTATTTTACCCAAGGAAGCTCTGTTGTCCACTTTTATATCATTATTTTGCACACACTTATCTTCACATATACAAACACTAAATTAAAACCAAAGGCAAAACAACAAAAAAGTTATTTTCAAAATTTAGGATTCTCCTCCTCCAAATCTTCCCTTTGCCTCTTTTCTGATCAGGAAAATCGCTAGCAATGATATAAGATTTCACAGGTATTCCCTTCTGAACAAACTTGTTACTACCCTCAACAAAAGGGAATGCTCTCACTGCTTCTCACTAAACAAAGAGAATATGTGCTTCAAAATTGTTCAATGTAGGAAAGCAATATAAAATAAATGAATAGGTTAAAAATACAGTCAGTTCTCCACTCACCTTTTTCTCCTGGCTGGCACAACAAGGATCCTAACTAGAAACATCAGAATCTAGGACAGTGCCGTTCAGTCTCCACCTTGTGTCTTCTGCTCTGCAAACTGCAGAAAGTCAACTAAGAAGACAAGACAGGTTTGAATGATCCTTCAACATCCATCTGTTCTTAAGAAAGACCTCAAAAGCAATAGAGTACCAATCTGGAACATTCTATCTCCTTAACAAAATGATGTATTGAGACCTTGAGTTAAAAATGAGCCAGAAACATAGGTCAGCCAACCTAAGGAGGAGTTTTCAAGTCCAGAAGAGCTCAGAAGGATGAAAGAGCCTCCAGAGAATTGGAACTATGGTCCCTAGAAGTAAAGTTACTTCACAAAATAATTCAAATATGAATCTCCCATAGTTAGATTGTAATGTGTGATGACATTAAAAAAAAAAGGCATTGCTGATGGGGCAAGAGCCAGGGATGTTTTTTAGGGACAGCAGCACTGGACGACCGCTCACTGGGCTGTTCAGCATAAAGAAAATCCACACTGGGGAACAAAGGGGACCCAGTGCGGGGATGGAGGGGCCCTCTTGTCTCCAGGGCTCCAGGCCCTGCTTCAGCTCACTCTACTGTGGCTCGGATGCCTCTGAAGGCCGCGGGCTGCCTCTTGCCGGCTCCCACCCGGAGCTGTGAGTCCACGCCTGGCCCACCTCCCACTCCGTGCTGTCAGGATCCAGGAGCTCAGGGTCTTCTTGCTCTCCTCTCTAAAGGCAAGGACACATTTGAAGGGGACTCTCAGGTATTTTGAGATATGCAGTACATTCTCCTTGACTCTTGCCACCCTGCTGTGCAACAGATGTCAGGGCTTCTTTCTCCTGTCTGTCTGAAACTCTGTGCCCTGTCACCAACTACCCAAGCCCTCCCTCTGCCATCCCCCAGCCTCTCATCACCATCACTACTGTACCTCTATGACATCAGCTTTGTGGATTCAGCAAGTAAGTAAACTTCACATTATACCCATACATGTATGCAACTATGACTCGTCTGTTAAAACTAATAGCAGTGAAACCATGACAAATAAAATAGATGCAGGAAGCATGGCTGTACCTCCTACATACTTGCTCTTGCTGCTTCAGCTGTCCACGTTCCCTGGCGCCACCTTGTTTACCTGTCTGCAGCAGATCTTTGGGCCAGCAGATACAGCACATTGTTAATATAAAGTTGGGAAATTTCCCAGTGAGCCCCTTCCAGGCCTGGCCCTGCTCAGAGGGAGAGGTCAAGGTCGTCCCATCTGGCTGCCCAGCCTGGAGACAGGTGGCCTCCCCGATGTGTCCTGGGGAGAGGTGTCTCCTCCTTGCTCTTCCCCATGGCTGCCGGTGGTGTGGTGGAGGGGAGGCCGTGGAGCCATGCTGGGGGCTGTGCCGGGATCGGGACTCATCTCCAGGCTGGGTAAAAGACTGGCAGTCACTGTGGCTTTCGCGGTCACCTCTGGTGTCTCCTACTCCTTGATCCAAATGTCCCTCAAAATTTCAGGAATGGTGGCCTCTCCCAGGTATCAATGGTCAAGAACTTCTTCAAAAATGTTTTCAATTCTTCAGAAAACTGGTGTCTCATTCTTCCATGGGTGATGTTACTTTTAAGTTCCTCCCAGTTGTCACGATCAAATGGAAGACTCCCAGCTGTCATGGTGTAGGGGACAACACCCAGGGTCCACATGTCTACCTCCCGTCCATGTATTCCTCACCCAGGAACATTTCTGGGGCACAAAACAAGGAGTTCCGTAGAAGGTGTCCAGCTTCTTCCCCTCACTAAGTGTCGTGGCAAAGCCAAAGTCAGGTACTTTGCTGTTCTCCTTCTTGTCAAGTAGAATGTTGGGGCTTCAGGTCCTAGTGGACGACGTGGTTGTCGTGGCAGCACTGCACGGCAGCCCGGGTCTGTGGGAATTTGTCTTGGGCCTCCTCTTGGGCCGCCTGCAGGCGGCAGTGTCTCACCATATGGTATAAAAGGTCCCTGTCACTGGCGTACTCTGTGACTAAGCAGATGGTGTCTTCATTCCCAATGGCATCCAGACGCTTAAGAATTCTCGGATGATTCAGGGCCTTTGTGGCTTTTATCTCCATAGCAACGCTTTCCAGGCTGGGGAGGGTCCGCTTGGACATGATTTTGATGGCCACCTGGGTCCCAGTAGGAAGGTGCTGGGCCAGCATCTCCTTGGTGGAAGTGTTCGAGCCAATTGTCTTGAGGAGCTTAGAATTGTTAAGCTCCTCAGTGGATGAATGGGAGGCGAAGGCCTGCTCCACGGTCACCTCTAACTATGCTAACTCTACCCTAACTATGCTAACTAACTAATGAACACTACCAACTATACTAACTAGGCCAAGAGTACTAGCAATACTAATTATACTCACCACTCTGACATTACTATCTATATGGACTATGCTAACAATAGTAATAAATAATACTAAATAGGCTAACAATACTCATTATACTAACACTACTAAATATACTCTCCTAGCACTAATAAAGATCAATATTAACTATGGTATGCTAACACTAATAACAATGCTAACTGTAGTCTGGTAATAACACTAACAAACAGTACTAACTATCCTATGCTAACACAACCAACAAATAATGCTAACTATACTGACTACGCTAACAATGCTAACTAACAAGGAAAAAGCAGTCCCACTACAAACTCCACAGGTCACCAAAAAGCAGCTTCCTGGGCAGTAAGGATGAAATCTCAGGCCCAGCCAGGGGCTCATATAGGTGTAACTAGTTGGATAACAATGGCGCCCTATGAGGTCAGAGCAAGAAATTGGCCAATCAGGGCTGGGTATAAGTCACAGTGGTTGTTTAT